AATCTGAAGATCTTCTAAATATCCTTCATCCATTTATGTGCTACATCTGGATCATGTTTGTCTTCGAACTTAAGTGGCTTGTTATTCTGGAACTTCTCCAAATTACAGAACTCTTTGTTTCTAGCACTCCGGTTGATATTCTGACTAATGTTCTCCACTGCCTGCCCAACAGCTTGCAATGCAACAGCCATCGTAACATCATTCCTACTAGCCATATTGTTCAATATCCATGAAAACACAGGTTAGAAGAAACACACGACTATAGACATCCTATAGTCAGACTCTACTACAACACTGGCCGGACGGACCAACCAGAATCTGATACCAATTGTAACACCTCACTCTACCCCCTTACGCGTATTAAAGGAATATTAAAGAAAATACATCAGAGTTTTCCAAAACACATAGGGTGTCACATAAACATTTTTCTCATCCAATGAAGTATCAAGTTACTTCATGCTTTCCACAATATTTCAACAAGGTCATTCAATAAAACAGTAGAATAAAATCAATGTTTAAACATAATCTCCACAACCGGTGGTTATACATCATTAATCCAACAGATAAAAGATACGTAACAATTAATCAAGAAAATAAGCAAATTATAACGTAATCTCGTCATCCCATGTTACGTATTAGAGCGACTCCTAGGACTCGATCAAATAGCAACACACTCTAAGCCCTACTCAGGTACCTGGTCATCTGCACTCCCTAAGGAGCACAGACACAACAAACAGAAAAGGAGTGAGAACTACATTCAATAAATAAGCGGTGAAATACACATGCTAAAGGAGTAGTTACACACCACACATACAATCATACACATGCAACGCATATACACGTGCCATCTCAATCACTCGACATTAATAGCCCATATTCTAATACAAATATGCAATGTGACTCACTGACTCGACACAATGCATGTGGTACCAACATAAATACATACGGTTCACCCTATAACCCGATTCCCGTCGGAATCCGGGTAAGTCGTATATGTTCCTCTGAACTACAACTTATCTCCACAACGACTTCCATATGAAGTCCAAATGAACTAGGCACTCATCATGGATTCCCACCCAGTCATCTCCACAAGACACGTGACATGAAATGCATGACAACACCATTATGCAAATATAATAATAATTTTAAGCATAATTCACGATCATCAATGATCCACACGAGCCATCCGCTTACCATAATCCTCTCGAGAATTACCATCATCATGTCAGATCGTCCACACTAGATGATCTTGTCCCACACATATCAATCATACCCCTAAGGGCAAAAACGTAATTTTCCATATTCTCTCTAATTAAATTCATTAATAATCTTCCTTAGGTTAATTTTAGTCATATTAATCTTACCGATTAAACGGAACTGTGTTCCAAGCGAAATTTGGGCAGAAATCGTGAAAATGGGAAAAAGTCATCCTAGACCTTCCCATACGCGTATTTACGCGTATTGCCATGTTGTCAGGCCCACCATATACGTATTGCCCTATCTGTTACGTGTAATGCCCTGTTGTCATACCCACCATACGCGTATTGCCCCACTGTCAGACCCACCATACGCGTAATGCCCTGTTGTCAGGCCGCATAAAATCAGTTTGCTGAGAGGTAGATGTTTCTTCCCTCGTGAAGTTGGGTGGCCAAGGAATTAACCTTTTGTCCACTTGGGCAGAGCAAAAGTAGAAGACATATTGAGAGAGCCAATAAGTCATGAAGGTTATGTGTTCATGTGCCCCTACATGATTCGTCGAAGTGTGATGTTCATCAATGAAAGTGTTGTAGGAAGTTTTGCTAAAAATAAAGCCAGGTTTGATTTTAGTGATTCTTAAAGGCTCAAAAGGATCTTCAGTTGGTTGAAGGCCAACAATAGCGGAAATTTCAAAGAGTGTGGGGGTTATCATTCCACAAGGAAGTTGAAATATGTTGGTGGAGATATCCCAAAAGCACATGGCTACAAGGAGCGTGTGAGAGTTGTACCTAGGGCCAACTCTTGAGTGTTGTATTAGGTCAAAAAGACCTAAATCTCTCCAAAAATGTTTTTTAGCATCTAAATCCTATTCAAGCATTGGATTGAAGAAGAATCGTCATCAATCGGAGGAGACGAACGAAATACTTTATTTTTGAAGAAACTATAATTAAAGGGTTTGTCCTGAAACACCAGGGACTCAAAAGAAGGGTAGTTGGGGAAGAAATCTTTCAGAACATAGAGTTTCTTAACGCGCCTAGGTAGGGGTCCATGAAAGCAAAAATGGTACCTGAAATGGAGTAAGAAATCAGTGTGTCTGAATACTAGATGTTTCTTCTTCATCTTCCATATGAGGCTCCGGGACATAGACACGATCGTCGCTGAAAAGAGGCTTGTTAATGGTAGCAGCGAAGGGAACACGTGGAACGGGTTTGAATGCGCTTTTTGGAGCCATTGTTCATTCTCAGAAGTTTTGGGAAACAAATGTATGAAGAAGATAACAGAAGTTGCAAATGGCTCTTTAGGGTTTTCGTTTTTTTCCAGAGAATAAATGGTGAAAGAGAAGAAACTTGCGGAAGAAACGTTGAAATATCCAAAGGGGGAGAAAATGTTTCAATTTTTTTCCTCCAATATTTTTGGACACATGGCACATGCAGTTCGACAGCTGGAACATAGGAAAGATTTAAAAAGAAATTAAATGATTTCTTTTTTAATTTCATTTAAGTTAATGGTGTGTTAATCTCTTAGGAAATAAGGGATGATAATGATCATTCGCATGCACGTATTTGACGTGACGATTTGGTAGAAAGTGGTCATGATGACCAAGAAATAAATAATAATAAAACGTCTAGTTAAGGTGACGTGTACATTCTAGTTGGACAAGTGTTAAGGAGTTATAATAAAAAACATCACATTTCTTCCATCTGACATATGATCGAAAGTGGCATTTTTTGGGGCATCTGTTAGCTTGAAATTTCAAGTTGAAGAAAAGTCAACAAAGAATGATACATTGAGAAAATGTCAAGTGTTAGCATTTGTTGGCAAGCTTTGACAAGAACAAATGCGTCGACTGAAGTGTTTCGACTAACATGTTGAACATGGTTTAGAAGAGTCTCAAGAACAAATCTTGAGCATGGTTAGGAAAAACCTCAAGAGCAGATCTAACTGATCTTTTGACACCATATCGAGGTTGAAGCGTTCGACAAATGTCAAAGACTTAGAAGATTTTGGAATCCAAAGACTTGAAAGGTCATATCACCACTAGAGTTATTCACAAAACTACCTTTGATGAGGAGGCAGTTACATGCTTGGAGCAATTACGAACATCAGATAATGGTTTTCAGTAGTTTGCAAGTTCTTACAACGTGGCAACGCTTTAGAAATCTGAGTTGCATGTTCTTAATATGTGTCCATTTTCTATGAATAAATAGTCGGAGATGGTTATCTTTAGTTCAGTATAAATAGTAAACTCATACATTGTAATCAAGATCGTAAAATTCATATACTTCTCTATAGAATTGGATTACCCGAGTCAAAAAGCGAAACAATTTGTGAGTAACATGTATGAGTCTGTGTCCATTTCTTTCATTGTTTTTCTGTTTTCTTAATTGAAACATTTTACTTTAATTGTCATCTACCGCATTTGTTGTTTAATGTCATTTATTGTAATTTTTATTTATTATGTTGATTCAAGATTTTTCGTTATTAAAGTTTGTGTCCATTTTGTCTTTATTCAAAAATTCACACACACACACACACACTTTCTTGTGCATTTATTTTACATAGATTACTCTAAAAAAAATTCAAGTTAATCTCACAAATAAATTAAGCTTGTGATTGTTTGCTAAAAACACATGCGAATAAGAGATTAATGTTGAGCCTAAGAGATTAATGTTGAGCCTAAACATGTGGTGGTGGCATATCCACATGTGGCGAGACTTTGGCTGTGAAGTTCGCATGCTATCATTCTTTTGTTTCTTCACACGCTCTTTGTGGGCAAAGGCGTAAGGAATCAATCTATTATATCTAAGACGATCTTGCATTTGTAATTGTATGTTATTTATAATAATTGAAAATTAGTCTAAATTAAAACACAATCAAAAAATCAGAACATGTTTCAAATAAATAAAAACAACCAATATCTTCTCATAAACTAGCTTATATATATATATAATATGAAATTCGCCGCGAGATAATTTTTTTAAAGAGTGAAAACATTAGAAGTATAAAGTGAATAAGAAAAGAATTAAATATATATTCACAGCTATCAGAAGAAAACTTTGAAGAGAAAAACTATCTGCAACTGCATCTTAAAACTCTGCATTTTTCTAGTGTGTTTATGCGGAGATTGAACTTCAATTCTCTTGCACAAACTCAACACAAGTGTTAATATGGAGATTGAACTCCAATTCTCATGCAGAAACTCAACACAACTAAACAAGTGTTTATGCAGAGATTGAACTCCAATCCTCTTGCACAAACTCAGCACAACTAATCGCAATTTTGCCTATGTAATGATAATAATTAATTTTGAATTATAGTTACAAGCGCATCGAAGATAAAGTGAACTCTAAACAATTACATTCATGCAAAAGAATAGCTATTAATGTAAAGTAAATAGTTTAAAAAATAATTAAACTGGCATCCAATGAGATTTTGAAGGACCAAACTAAGAGTTTAAGGATTAACTTATTCAAAAAATATTAAATTACAATTTTTGTAGATGTTTTGTTAAACACTGATATTGAAGCTGCAAAAATGTCTCATCCATCCATATAGAACCTTGAAACATAAGCAGCAATTCAAGATAAAATCTCAATTACAGCCTAATCTAAGAATAAATTCAATTCAAGATAACATGAATTAGGAACTTGTTTCCTCATTATCATTAACTTGCTCAAAACCCCAGAGGATAAAATGGGATTTGCTACATCTCATTGGAAAATTTCTATGCTATAGAAGAATATCACCTCCAATTGAACTCCCTTTAACTTTCCTGAACACTACCTTTAAGAATACATTCAAATTTAAATAAGTTTAGACGTCTTCAAAAATCTGATCATCTGACAATAATGCGGCCATATCGATTCCATAAAATCAAGATACTTTTCCATTAACCATTCTAGCAATACTTTCAATATTCTTCGTGTTAGCTGTACATAATCAACGTCTTTTAAGCTCGATATAGGCCGCAAAAGATAAACTGCAATATGTTCTTTGATCCCGCCGCCAAAAATGTAGTTGTTGGCAAAAATGCACCAAGAGGGTACTTTCCTAAGTACTTTGACGGTTTGATTGAAGCTTAAGGCATAGAGTGCACAAAGACCGCGGATTATCATTATGTGTGTAGCCAGAATTAGTGGCCCGAAAACCCATAAAGGAGTTAATTCCTTCGAAACTTCTGCCCCGTATTTTACATTAACAGCCAGGTAGAGAGGAACACTGCAGATTGAAGATACGTTAGACACATAAAAGCATTATTGTGCAATCAATGCAATTGCCATTATTTAAAATGCAAGAAAAGTTGAACAATGATGCAGAAGCTAGTTACATAATATATTGACTACGCAGTAAGCAAGTCAAGAAAAGATGAAAAATGATGCAGAAGCTAATCACCATACTTACAATATCAACAAAGGAATCTTTATTGCCGCATCCAGGGCAAGAAAATGGGACCATGCTACCTTAAAAACCTCACTTCTTTCCTTGCTATGAGTCATTTGTAGAGTTTCAGGTAAATCTGTTGGAAACAGTCTTCCGAAAATTCCCTCCACTTCTTGACATGATGATTGGGTGCGCAACATTTTCAACCATTTATTGAAGAGTCCATGAAAAGCAGATGATGTTGCAAGGCTATCACCTGCTTCAGCTGCATAAGAGAATGGCACATTGTGAGTTTCCCCACTCTCCTCTAGTCCAACAGAGGTTTTAGGTGCCTTCAACCAACTAGCCCTTGTTGCAAGGCTATCACCTGCTTCAGCTGCATAAGAGAACGGCACATTCTGAGTTTCCCCGCTCTCCTCTAGTCCAACAGAGGTTTTAGGTGCCTTCAACCAACTAGCCCTTGTTCTTAAATCATCGTTATGAGATATGCCTTTGAAGCCTGAAATCCTCAAAGGTTTGATCTTGGATACACAAAAGCAAGGAGGCCCTACACTGGAAACAATAAATTAACCCTTTAGTTCAAGCAAAATAAAAGGTCATGAGCATTCAATTCATGAATGTTTCTGCATTTGAAATTGCAACAATCACCAGGAAATGGAACTGAGGAAATTAATTGAAATATCAAAATCAATGAACATTAATCATATTCTCAACTTTAAAAACAACAACAACCAAGCCTTTTTCCACTAAGTGGAGTTGGCTACATGGATCAACTTTCGCCATAATGTTCTATCCAGTGTCATGCATCTATCCATATTGTTAATCTCGAGGTCTTTCTTTATAACTTGTCTTACAGTTTTTATAGGTCTTCCTCTACCTCTAGTTGTTTGACTTCTCTTCATATGATTTACTCTCATTACCACAAAATCTACATATCTTCTCTCTACATGTCCAAATCACCTAAGTCTATTTTCCACCATCTTTTCTATTATACTATTATAGGTGTTACCCCAAACACTCTCACTGTTAAAAACAATAAAGAAAAAATACATTAACACTTCATCAAACATTTGCAACAAGTTACGTTCACAAGCATGATTTTGTTCTTCTCTCCAATTCTTCGAACCTCCAATTCTAGATGAAGAAAACTATTTGAAAAAAACATACTTCAAACGTACTATAAATATATTTGGTGGATCAAGATTTGTAATTTGTTTATCTTTCAGAGAGACGCCTAAGAATTGCATTAGAACTGACACTTGTAAGATGCTTCTACTTCTACCATTGATGTTATGCGATAAATAGTTTCTAACTAAACTTCATGAAGTGACCATGACACCAAACACCACATATTAATTTCAACCAGAATTACACAAACATGTTGTCTATACCTTAAACAAATATTATGCTTTGATAAGTGATGCCAGCTTGTTCTTCCAATCATGTGATGTTTTGTCAAACACTGCTTCAACTTCAATCTTTTGTTCCATGACAAATGCCTAGTGGAAGGTGTCACATACAAACCCTGAAAACATTAAACCAAATCATCCATAAAGATCATAAATCACATACCCAACCCAAGCACAAGAACTATGAACATATTAAACAATCCAAGAAGAAGTACCTGTGGTTGATGTGCTACAAAAGCCATTTCAAGACTAAACCTTATCCAATCCACTGAATGATTAGGACCTAATCAAAAAGCAGCAACAACTGAAACTAAGATAAGTAAATAAAAAATTAACTAAAACTAGAAAAATGACACCAATGGAACAAAACTAGAATGAACCTAATGCGTGACATTTGGGGAAGTGGAATTGAAAAGATATACTGAGAAGGGGGGAAGAGAATTACGCGGTGAGACCGTGTCCAAGAGAAGTGAAGTGGAAAGGTTGAATAGAGTGATCAATGTGAAGTGTGAAAGGGATTTTGAAAGGAAACTGAAAGTGTGTTGAACCCTAACATAACATAGAAGAAGATGATAGACAAAAGCGATATGATCAGACACCTGGCACTTGTATCATCCCCTTCCCTTGTTACTCTTTTGCTCATAACAAATTTTAATAGAATAATAATAATTAGTTTCACTTTATTCCCTTATTTAATAAATGTTAGGTATAAGTCTTTTAAATATTATTTTGTTGGTTATATTGGCCATGTCCGTTAAATTTTGTCAAATTCTGTTAAATTTTGTATGCGTGACACTCCAGTTGTACTTAATTAGATGATATAGAATTGTTTTATTTTATATTGATTTAAATTTTAAAATTTAAAAACAAAAGAAGTTGAAACAATCTTTTCTCTCTTCCTCAAACCCTAATGGTCACTTCTCTCACTTCTTCCTCTCTCTCGTGCACCGATTTTGTGATACTTACATCTAACGTTCTATTTTTCAGATCTCAAAGCTATTTTAAATCTCATGCCTAATTTTGTTTTCATTTACGATACTATTTGGTGATTAAATGGTGGGTTTAATCTTTTTTGGATTTTAGGGGTTTCTTTGTTAAAAAAGTCAATACTTTTAGATTTGGAATCATGGCTTTTTGTTATTTTATTATTTTGTGAAAATTAGTTTTACAGCGATTTAGTTTGTATGCAGGTCAAGAATATATTTGTAGATTTGCTCGATTTTGTATCATGATGATGCTACAGAGGTGGAAAACTCCTACGACTAAAGCATGCTAAAAGGTGACAATTATTTAATGAATGAATCTTTTTTCATGACTCCAAGTTACTTAGATATGATGTGAAGAAGAATTGATTTTGTTGGTATTGTTCTTCAATTGGGATACACCTTTGTGTTAACAGTATGTTTTTAGTTCTTCTGCCGAAAATTCTTTAAACTACTTTTAAAGGAATCGATGAAACTGCTTCTGTTAGCTTTCTATTTCCTCTACATTATACAAGTGGTGATTTGCACTAGAATTAGAATGTTTTCCTAGTAGCTTTTGTTTTCTTTGTCTGTTCTTTTTTCAGTTTGGAATTTATAATTTTGTCTAACTCTATTTACAATCTTACATAAATAAGGATGATAAATAATGAATATCCTTCCTGCACCAAAAATAATAGATCTCTAACAAATATGAGAATGTAGATTATTAGAGTATATGTGATTGATATAATGTTTATTAATTCTTACTAGAGATTTTTAGATGAAGAAGCATTGAAGGTAACTAAACTAAATCCAAATAAATTATTTTACTAATTTAGATATATGTTATCAGTATAATATTTCTTTAATATTTGATTTTGCTTGCTAAGTAGATGAATATTCAAGTGACTCTAGATCACTTCTAATGTTAAACATGCTATGGGTTTATGATTTATGAATTAGAAGTGGAAAAAGTGCAAGTCATAGAATAGAGTTGAACCTGTTATGATTTATACTAATGCATTGAAATATGTTATTGAAAACTTGTAGAATTGTTTAATCTCTTAGGAGAAAAGAGTAATTGGAAGCTATGGTGCAAAGCTTATATCATGTTCAGAAGGAAGTTATACTGTGATAATCCATAAGACAAGAAAAGTTGTTTCATGTGAAGAACCAGATTTCTACAGCAACTACAAAGATGTTAAACCTGGAAAAGTTATTTTCACCATTGATAATTCAAGTTCTAAGAAGAATAAGTTATTGGAGTTGTGTCTGTGTACACCTTAATTCATTTTTGGTTTAATATCTTGCTTTGAATAAGTAATGTATCAAGATTTTGGTTTAATGTTATTATATTCAAGATTTTATAAATATAAAAAAGTTTCAATTTGATACTTTAACTATATATAAGGTTTCAATTTAGTCTCATTATTAAATTGCTTACTCACTTGCCATGTTGTCATGCCACATATGCACAACTTAACGTTTTTTCATAAAATTTATCAGAAAAGACCAACTTGACTAACGAAACAATTTTTAAGGAACTAAAATGTAACATTTAATAAATAAGGGACTAAAGTGAAAACTGAAATTAAGTTAAAGGACTTAAACACTAATAAAGCCTAATAACTAATATAGGTTTGTTCTTTTTATGGAATTTAAATTTATGTGCAAGAATAAAATTAATGTGTACGGTGTTATTTTTTAAATATATCTATTGTTCTGGACTGGGTCGGGACCTGCCCCTCAGCCAGGCAGGCCCAACCCAGTGTTATGTTGATGAGGCCCAACAAGGCCCAATTTCCCTCTGTCGGGCAGAAGCCTCAACAAGGCACACTAGTCGGACAGAAGACTCTCTTGATGGGGAAGCCCACACGCTTCCCCCACAGACTCCATGTGTCCGTTATGCGGGAACACGTCATCAGACAACTACCCACTTCCGAAAGAGTTGATCAACCTACATTCCGAAGATCACGGGGCAGTTGAACCAAGGCGACGACCACATGCTGGTCTTCCCTACGCCATGTAAGCCCTGACAGTTACTTGTGTTGGGCTTGGCAATCCGGCCCAATGCAATGTAACCGTTGCGTTGCGCTGGGGGCACATTATAAATACCCTATTTCACTAGAGGCTTATGTATCTTATTCTCTACACAATTTTTCTGTACTTTCTCTCTCTCTCTCTCTCTCTCTCTCTCTCTCTCTCTCTCTCTCTCTCTCTCTCTCTCTCTCTCTAACTCCGTTACTCACTTAAGCATCAGAGCATCTTGCAAGTATAACCATTCCTCCTCTACAACACCGGTGAAGGCAGCAGCTCACGACGCGTGTCAGGCTACTGATTCCTTTCTGATCAAGTGAGATCAGTGACGCCGTTTGTGGGAATCCTTTGTTTCCCCGTTCTTTCTCCTATCTGATCATAGAAGCTCAAGAACCAAAGCAATCTTCAATTTCCATTCTGATCATGGCCAGCCCATGCGACGACAATGTTCTAGAAACCGCCTTCGTCCCTTTCACCAACGGAGACGGTCGCGACCCCAACGCGATCATCCACAATGAAGAAGGCGACTACAGGGACGGGTGCACCGCCTCTCCCTCCTCAGAAGACGCGCCCTTCAATCTCGCCCAGCGTTTTGACAGCCCAGCTGCCTACCAGTCCATCCCGGTGCCAGCTGGCGCCGACCTTACCATGGTGGCTCTATTCGCAGCGATCAACCAGACTAAACTGATGATCTTCCAACAGAACGAGCAAATAGGGATACTTAAGACGGAACGACCATCACGCTCTCCCCCCGCGGAGACATTGTCTCCCAGTTTCCAACAACCCATCTCCTTCCTCACGGAGGACGCGACACATCGACGACTCTCGAAGCCCTTCTCCCTGGCCAACTGGGCGTCGTTCTCGCTTGGAGCAAACACAACCGATGGTTTCCCAGAAGCGTGGTCGGTCACCTCACTGGAAGGAACGACGTTCCCTAGCTCAGAAGAAGAGCATAGCCGAATGAGGCGTTACCAAGCCAAGAGTGTGACCGAGGAGTCCTCCCCGATGGAACAAGAACAACCAAGGGTCAGTCTCTTCCTCACTATCACCTGTCAGGAGTGACAAAGACTTCCAGTGCTCACCACTGTGTAGGACCATCAGAGAGGCCCCACTGCCCATCAGGATGGAGAAGCCCCCACCTTTGGCAACTTATGATGGCACGAGCGACCCCGACGACCAAATAGAAAGCATTGACGTGATGCTCGACTATTGGAACGTGCGGGGAGCTATCAAGTATAGGTTTTTCCCCACTACCCTGAGGAAGGGTGCCATGGCATGGAACAAATGCCTTGCACCTGAATCCATCACCTCCTAGGGCGAACTGAAGAGGCAGTTCTCCAGGCACTTCACGGTTTTTCGGCGCCATCCGAAGACAGAGGTAGCCCTGGAAGCCATTATCCAAGGGAGGAACGAACCTCTCTGAGATTACATAGAGAGGTTCAACCGAGAGGCCTTCCAGGTGTCCACCACGGATGACATGAAGAAATTTCTAATCCAGAGAGGCATAAGACCTCACTCCGACTTTGCCAAAGCCGTTGGGATTGAACATCCCCGTACCTTGATTGGCCTTCTCCACAAAGCCCAATCATACATCCAGTATGAGGAGATAGAGATCGCGAACACCGCCCATGACACGTAGAACCAAGAGGGCTTCCGGGGGCGCCAGGCATGAGGAGGTCGCTCCTCCTCGACGAAGCGGGAAAAGAAGAAGAGAAGATCGACCCTACGAGCAGAGGGGACTAGCGATCCAGTTCACTGAGTACACGCTGCTCACAACTCCCCGTGAGCACATCCTGGACGAACTTATCAATTCAGAATTCTAGAGGAGCGATGTTCGTTTCCCAAAGTTGACGCCCCCGAAGCCCAACATGGACAAATCCAAATAATGTCGATTTCACCGGAGTCATGGACACGTCACATAGGATTGCATCCACCTCAAGAATGCAATAGAGATCTTAATAAAAGAAGGGCACCTTCAGTAGTACACCCGGCGAGGTGAGGTTCTCTGACTTGAGACCCACGAAGCCAAGAAGGTCGAGGAAGTGTCACCTCCCTCCGACGAAGCGGGGCTATAGGTCGCCCTGTGTGTCTCCTGACCGGAGGAATTCCTCCTTTTCAGCAAGCGCGCCAGACCGTTATCCGCCCACAGCCTGTGGGAGGATTTCCCCGCCACCCTGGTCATATTCGGCAGCGGGCCCAGCAAGATATTGGTCGGGTCGGTCAAGAGGAAGTTCGAGGAACTC